TTATTGTAAAAGTAGTATATCCTCAGCTGCTGAGGAGTGCCCCCACAGTACCAGTCCATAAGTCACATGACTGTGAAATAGGGCGTAAGTACACAGATAGAAGAGATGATCAATCAATATTTAAAAATATATCTATTATAAAATTAAACTATCATAACCTAACCTAACCAACCAAACTTGCTGATGGTGAAAATAATCGCATGAAGGTTTACTAGGCTAATCGAATCGATAGTGTCAATAAATATTAGCGTAGCCCAGTTAAGAAACTGTAAGTTACAAAATGTGTGTGTGTTACTTTGGTAGGCCTATCGGTAGTCTATCTTAAGATTTGAAGTACCGGTACCTATTATTACAAAATTATTTTAAGGGGAGTCGCTACTGAAAAACTACCAATTTTGTAAAAAACTTGATTTTTTTATTATTTTTTTATCTTGTTCTATGGATTGTAAGGTTTCAAAAAAACATAACATTTGGTATAATATATATTTTTTTCACTGTGAAAAAAATATTTGAAGTGAAGCGCGCACACCTCTTTTGGGGCATCAACTAGGCCTAGTATAAACCAACGTATAAACTTCAACCGCTGTTTTCCGCGACTTTAAAATTTTGTTTTTTTTTATATATAAGTTCTTATAACTTTTTAACTATTGCAGCTAGGCCTATATGAATGAAATTTTTACCACACATTGTTTATACTATAAATCAACTTTCTGTGCATGGATATTGTAATTGGGTAAATAAAAGTACATGAAAAAAAATTTATAAAAATTTATAACCTATAAATTTTTCAAAAACTTATTTTTGAAGCCATAACTTATAAACTAATTGAGAAAATAACATGAGTATGCACAGAAAGTATGTGCTTTCCTTGCTCTTTAAAATAAGATATCGAACAATAAAATTGGTTCAGTAGTTAAATAGTTATAAGAGATTTAAAAAAACCCCATTTTTTCCTGCCAAAAAACTTAAAAAACTCCAAAAAGTATGTATAAATTTTTTTTGACTTTAACGGCAGTAAATCTTTTTCTAAGACTAAATGAACTTAAAAAAGTATATATGATAATTTTTAAAAGGATTTTATTAAAAATCACTAGTTTCAGTAGTGACTCCCCTTAATAGGAAGGATTTTCTCAACTGTCACAACCTTTTGCTTAAATGCTCAGTGTAAATTTTGGAACAGCAAGAATAAGTTTACCACTTATCCAATTTTAAGTTAAGTTACACCTTGTGAATAAAATTGGGTAGGCCTAGGTAATTCTTACCTTCTCAGTGTACCAAAACTCTCTTGCCTTGTGATTCAGGCCTAATCTAGGATGATTAATCATTAACCTTAGCAGTGGCCAATGTTAGAAGTGGGGAATGGCCAACCCATTTTGGCGATTTTGCAGACCTTTTTTTGAAAATTCGTAAAAGTTCAACCGTACAAGTAAACCTAGCCAACCTTAAAATATATTAATTTTGTTCGGAAAGAACAGAAAAATCTAGAAATAGTAATATAATAATGATTTAGACAGTGTATTTTTTCAATAAATAAAAAAAAATAAAAAAATAAACTTAGAATTTTCTTTTTTGAAATTTTAAAAAGCAGCCTCGGTAAAAACTTTTTTTACAGATTTTTTAAGGGAAATTCATTTCATAGCCTACATTTTGTGGACAATCTAATTCCCTACATAGAAATATATATCATATTAGGAAAATATTTTTAGCGAATTTCCCATATAGGGAATAAGCTATTACCGTAGTACTCATGGTAAGACCTGGACCCGGGACCGATTAATTTTTTTGTTTTGAGGTCCCTAGAGGCCAAAAACACCATCCCTCAAAAATCATATATATATATATAGGCCTATATATATATATTTATATATATAGGTAGGCCTACCGGTACCTATATGTGTCCGTTAGCACGATAACTCAAGCAAAAATGATCCGATTTTGATGAAATTTGGTACAAACGTGTAAACCTACATTTATTCGAACGAGTTGGGAACCAGCATGATCAGATTATGGGAATGGGGGTTTATGGGGTGTTTTTATGGGGTAAAAATAGGTTTTTCCCAATTTGACCCTAAAAACACAAAATTTTACAATTTCTTTTCAAACCATTTTTTTAGAGCATAAAAAAACAAATAATTTAGTATATTGAAGAGTTATTACAAATAAAATTCCAAAAAACTGTAAATTTAAAATTCCTATGTTATTCTTATGGAGAATAAGTCAACTGTTGCAGTTTGCTTGTTTATGAACATACTAGCTGTAACCTGTAAGCTCACTCACCTTTAGGTAGAAGCTCGTTCGCTGCGCTCACTTGCCTTCAGGTTAGCTCGTTCGCTACGCTCACTTGCCTTCAGGTTAGCTCGTTCACTACGCTAACTCGCCTCCAGGTTAAAGTTCGTTCGCTATGCTCACTCACCTTTTGGTTGCAAATTAGCTGTTGTCATAAATGTAAAAGAAATAATAGTGCTGCACCCTGTTGGTAATCCTTGTAACTTTAATGCTATTGTACATCATAGAACAGAACCAACTTGTTTAATTGAAACAGCTGTTAAGATTCATTAATTCCATTTCTCATAAGGTTAACATGGGAAACTACAGAGCCACTGGGGCGGAGCCGATTGGACGGATCACGAAATTGATGGTGTAAACCTATTCCATGACATTCTACACGTATGTACCAAGTTTTGTGGCAATCGGTTCAGCGGTGTCTGAGTTTCACTGCCAAATATATATATATATACAAACATCCTCTTTTATACTTATAGATTTTATCAACATTGGATCATTTTTGCCCATAACTTATATATATATTTAAACAGATATTCATTTTTCATATGAATTTAAACAGATGGTGTTTTTGCCTCTAGGGACCTCAAAATAAAAAAGTAAATCGGTCCCAGGTCCAGGTTTTACCATGAGTACTACGGTAATAACTTATTCCCTATATAGGAAATTTGCTAAAAGTAAAACATTTTCTTACCCATTAAATTTTCAATTTTTTGATATCATATTAAGCCATATTTTGAGAGCTTATGTTAAGATATACAAATAAACTTTGAGTAAAAAGAAGAGAACTTACAGTTCTCACATCCTCTGACGCCACAGTGCGCACGTATTATTTTATAGTTTTAATTAAAAACTTATTTGATTTCTTTTTATGCAAAAAATGTGTAAATACATAGGTATATTACTTTATGATTTGAGTATCGGATTATGAATGGTATAATAAATACTAACAAACACAATATTAGCAGGGCAAATAAACATTCATCCTTCAACTGTTATGTTGAATTAAAAAAATATTAACTGGTCTTCTTTGAATTTACTATTCGTGCATGACATTCTTCCTCTTAGTTAGGTTTCTAATAAGTTATTGTGATTCTAATTTAAGTTCTTAATTTTGTTTGTATGATGTAGTCTTAAATAAATTTTTAAACACTTGACTGCTATTTCAGTAAATCACTAATATGACATTTTAACGGTTCTAATTGGTTGTGTGTTTGGTTGCTGGTTCGGTTAGCCTTAAAAATGTTAGGCCTATTATGTATGTTTCTGAGCACAATGCCTCCCCCCTCACGGAATGGCCACGCAGTCGGGCTGGCTTCAACGAAACTCGAGCATGTCCTCTACTTAATCCTCCTAGGGCCTAAGCGGGGTGAGATACGAAGGAAGTTTTTAAACATTATACCTAATTGTTTTGGGCCTCCTAAGTATTTAATATGAGGGACAGACTTTTATATCTGTTGTCAAAAACAACCGAATGAAAATATTGATCAACATTTTTTATTTGATTATTTCATTCTATACATTGTTTGGTTGATTAGGTTAACCTAACCTAACTACTTAATAAAACGATATATCGAATAAAATAATCGATATTTCGAATAATCGATTTATTGATCAATATTTTCATTCAGTTGTTTTTGACAACAGATAAGTTAACTTATGAAAGTCTACCAAATATTAGGCCTATTTTTCTGTTGGCCTCAGGACAAAGAGTTAACGTCTTGTTTCTTAGTGTAATGTCAAATACTTATTGGGCTAGGTTTGCATAATTTACCAAAACATAAGTTAAGATTGGCCGTGGTCTCTAAACCTATGTTACTCATTATCAATCAAAGTTAAGTTAATTTTCCTTTTTTGTTTTGTGTGTTTTCTACGCCAATGAATGGCAGCGTACAGTTCCGTTGAGAAGCTGTAATATAACTTATTATCGGGCTAAATATAGATATAGGCTAATTATATCGATTTTGATTTAGTTTTATAACTCACCTTTAATATGCTAATTTCATTTCTGGATGAACATCAAATTGAGTAGGCTAATGATCTGTTAACAAGTAAAACAGCAATAATTTTAGGTACTTAACTTAAATTAGAAAAAAAAAACTAAACAAAAAACCTGCAAAGCAGAGAATAGCCTAATATTGTAATTTTTGCCTTTAGAAAATGGGGAAACGGATCTTGACCTGATACTTAACCTGGTGTAGAGGTAGGCTAGGTTATTCATAAAGATGATTCGCAAGATTGTCAGCGGATTTTATAGGCCTACATACCACTTTGTATTTCCACTTTAAAATGTCTTTAAACTAGCCTATTTTCAGACATAGCCTACAAATTTAGGATAGAATAAACAAACCACTTTATTAACGTTTTGTTTACTTATCGTTTTTATATATATGTGGTAAAATTAAATTCAATGTAAATAAGTAACTTAATCGAACTGAATCAAAATCGATATATAGGCTAGCCTATTGATATTTAATCCTATTATAGGCCTATGTCGCAGGCTCTCCGAGGAACTTTACCCCAATGGCATTTCTTACTTTTTAAAAGGGAACAGTCCAAACCCTGGTCTTGTTACTACGGTCTCTTTGTTAGATAGGGTCATTAATTCATAGCCCAATGACAAATAGCATCTGGGTAATGGCTCAATGAGATTAAAGTTATAATATAAATGCAAAGTGGTTGATTTGATTTTAATTGTTATGAATAAATTGTTCTAGATACAAAATGACCAGAACAAAAAAGCCCCGAAAGCCTTCATCTATCAGGAACGAACTGGGTACTCAAGGATTTTTCAGCCACAGTTTAGTATCCAGCCACAATATCTCACAGAAGAGCAACTATGAAGATCTCAACAACTTTTTAACTAGAACATACACATCAACTGACCACCTCCAGAAAGAACTGAAATGTTTTTGTAAGTTATAATATTGTATATTTTTCAATGAGTACATAAGATCCTATTTAAGTTTATAGTGTGTTTACACCCAGAGTTTTCAACAGGATTTTTAAAACATGTGTTGTTAACATAAGTCCTAAACATTTTGTTCTAAACTCCGGTGTCAACCTGGCTTTACAAAGTGCTGTTTCAATATATTTTTACAACTTCAGGTAAAATGTTTGTTGTAAGATAAACACTGCAAACTATTGACAAATTTGGACAAAACTAGTGTTCCATGATGTAAACTTTTCTTTAAAAGTTTTTCCAGTGGTGTAAACACTGATTAAGATTTAACACGTTCGCTACCACAATAGTACAAAATTTTGCATTTATATGGACCAGTGAAGCACATATGCGACGGCTGGTTTCTACCCATAGACTGCTGTCGCATATACTAGTCACATTAAAATAGACTGACGTCACATATTTGCATCGGTGTTCCAATGTTATCAAAACGCTCATATCTTTGTAACGGTCTATTTGAAGGCACTGAATTCTCTGCAGTGGTCTACAGGGATGTCTGTCGCACAACTGTGTCGCTTGGTCTGTGGATATGATAATTGGTGACGTCATATGATAGTTGGGAAAACTGTTCTTTACTCTGCTGCATCACTGTATGTATGTATGCTGTATGTATGCTACATTGTCCCGCTTTTATATTGCTCAATTATAAACTGTTCATGAATTTTTTTTTTTACTTATTTTCTCCTAAAAAAAAAACAAAAATGAACTGTTGCATATATGCGGCGTTCGGCTATTTCAAGAAAAAATAATAATTTTCACTATTGTCTTAGCTATAGACCAAAGGTTATCAACAATATAAAAAAACAAAAATATATTATTTATAAACAAAAATGCAGAGTATTACAAGGTAAATGATCAGTGTTTAACACGTTCGCTCCGACGTGTCCACCGGTGGCGCACGAATTAAATTTAAGTAAAAAGTAAATACGTGTTCAAATTACCATAGACTTTCCAAAAAACAAAAATGTTTTTATAATAATAATTTATTTGAAAATTATGGAAAAATTGCCCATAATAACAAGGAGAATGCAGAAATTATGGCAGAAGCGTTTAATAAACTATTAAACTGCGACGAACCTAAAAATCTTTTAACGATAAATACGAACACTCCCATAATAACAAATCCAGAAAATTTAAACCCACCTGTTCGGTATTCATATTTTTAGAGTATTTAGAAATTAATCATTATGTTAATTAAGTCACTGGTTAATTAATCATGCTAATGTATATATAAATCACCACATTTATTGTAATATTATTTAGTCTCAGTAACAATTTATTGTAAATAGACTCCCGCTTTCAATATTCAAATGAGATTGCTAAGCCTGCTCGAATTTCCCGCCACAGTAAGGCCTATTTTCCTGTACTACATACCCATGAATCACCTGACGCCGTGTTTGCTTCAATCGCATTTCCTATTGGCCATCGAATTCCTAGACCCCTCTAAACCGCAATTGCATTTTTAAAAGTGTGAAACCGGCGATCGGCGTCTGTCTGTCCACGGTCGGCGTCCATAACTCACGGTGTATTCCGTTTCTCGTATCTCGGGACATTAATTGCCCATTTTACCTCTCTTAAGCGTATTTTTAGGCTATAGATTAATTATATCTGGCCTCCCTCTCCTCTATAGTACATTTAACTATATATACATTTTAATTTCCCCCTTTTGTTTGTGATTAAATTACTTAAATTGTGATCTAGTGATTTCAGACTCTTCAAACCTCAAGACAGTGTGTGCGCGTCCGTGTATTACTTCTAGACTTTCCGTACGTTTTCACCGCGACTTCCGCGTATTAGTGAGCTCTTTGTGATTATGAACTTGGGTGCGTTGCGTTCTCCAAAATTCTACAAAACAGAAGCACTCGGTCTAAGGACTCCGCCATCCGCCATCGCTCCACCATAGACGACGCCGCTGCCATACTCTCCACCTTTGGATAATTGGACTCAAGGTACAACTTTAAAGTTTTGTGTGTGTTTTAATTAGACTCTAAAACTAATCTCATTTGCCCCTCACAAGACATTTTATTCCATCTCGGGACCTCAGTGCCCTTCAAATTGCAGATTCGCCATTTTCTTTAAAATAATTATTTTTCTCTTGAACTATTAATTAGTTCTGGTCCTTCGAGTTATTCATTATTTTCATTTTCACCCATTACGCCCCCAACATTTGGTCCTTCGAGCCGGATTCATTGTCTAAAGTCCTGTGGTAATTAATTTCAGCCAATTTTCATCATCAACCATATTTTTAGCGATCTGCAATTTTCAATTTTCGCCATATTGGTAAAATATCGGCTCGCGTTCGTTCCGTTCGTGGGCGTGGTTTAGCAATCTCTCTCCACTCGCGCGTCTGCGCAGGTCACAATCATGTACAATTTGCTGTTCTCTCTAGTAGTAGACAATTTTTCCCTACTTGGCTTTTTTATCCCGAAAACGGGATTTAGTTTTAGTTGCGGGATTTAGTCGCGTGCAGACGGCCGACACTAGTAGCAGACGCATATCTCAACTGTCACTCACTGTACAGCGTTTGTTGTTGTTTACATTTTCTCATTTAAGGTGTATTGTGTAATAAGGTTGATTGATATTATTAATAACCAACTATTAGGTTATTATTAGGTATTTACTATTATTCTTTGAAACAATATTGCTCTTTTGAATATCATACTAAATAAACAATAATTTGTCATTGTTATTTAACATTGTTTATGCTTTCTGAATTTTGATTTTAAATGAAGTAAAGTTAAATTAGTTCATCTCTGTAATTTTGGTTGACAAACGTGCGATATTATATTTAAGGTAATTTTATCTTGTCAATTAACATTTTAATAAATCGTTCAAAATAACCGTTTTTACTGGTTCTTATTACTAGTGTTGTACATATAAACAAAACTGTTAGCTAGCGTATTTGTATTGTGATTCATATTTCATTGATGGTTATAATTTTATGTTCCTTTCTCATTTATTAGGGTAATAACTTACTCTTTATGTTGCAATTCTTGTTTACTAAGGATTATTCTACACTGTTTCATTAATGAGGCCTACTCTCATTAAACTTATTTAGATCCATTTATTATTTTTGTAAATAACGGTGAACTTTCATGTGACTCATTCATTTGTTCTATCATATCTCTTGTTTTATTGTGCATTATTATTACCGTACTTGAATACTTTCAACTAAGCTCAATTGTTGATTTATAGTTTGAAAATCGAATTAAACCTGCCACACTCATTTAAAAATATTTTATTGCTATTTAACGTGTTGATAACTTAGTGTTTTTCACTATTTGCCTCAATTAAGCTACAAAGTAGGTGGATGTATGTTTTAGATATTTATAATATTTTATCTCTATATTATTCAGCGGACAATTAATTACTACATTGTTAAGCTAATACCATTCATAGGCCTAGCTACAAGCCTTTTGTGTACCCACAACTTCCATTTTCGTGTGAATACTTTCAAGTGAACACTTCACAATGCCTCCTAAAGCATCTGATTTTAAGTCCGCAATCTACACCCGTTCTACGGCGCTGATTAAATCACGTTTTGAAAAACTTAAGGCTACAGTAGATGAATTATCAACTCAAATCGACCCTCTAACACCATTACAACTTAAGAAATTATCCGCTTACGCGTTGGAAATAAAAAAGAAACGCAGTGAATTTGAAAATAACCTTCAACGTGCCTTCGTTCTGGAAGATGAAGGGATCGATGATAAGACTCTTTCCAATGATCAAGATGCTATTGAAGACATGTTCTCTCACATTCAAGCTACGATTGAAACCCTGGTTCCCTCAGAACCACCAAAAACCCCTTCCGCGTTCAGTGAATCGTTTTCTGTTTCAGAAACTCATCCAAGCTCACAAGTACGATTACCTAAACTGGACTTACAAAAATTCTCTGGCGATCCATTAACGTGGACAAGTTTTATCAATCTTTTTGACACTGCAATCCACCGTAATGCTTCATTATCCTCTGTTATGAAATTCCAGTACTTACTCTCTGTCTTAAATGGAGAGCCTCTCAATTTAATAAGGAGTTTAAATCTCACCGCTCCTAATTATCTAGTCGCCTATGAATTGTTACGTGACAGATATCACAACAATCGAAGATTGCAATCATTGCATCTTAACCAATTGTTGGACCTGCCAAACATTACGGCAACTTCACTCAAAGGTTTGCGCCAATTTGTAAACCTGTTTACGGAACACACACAAGCTCTTAAGGCATTAAATTGTGACGTTAGTGACAACAACCCCCTATTGTCCGCACTCCTTTTGCGTAAAATGGACCAGGAACTACGTAAAAAACTTGAATCGTTCCGTTCCAGTCAAACCGAAGATCCAGTTACTCATTCATTACCAGAAATTAGTGAAATAATAAAATTTCTTAACCAAGAATGTTCGCAGACAGAAGATGCTAACATACATAACATGTCATCGGCCCACAGAAGCGTTCAACCTTCACCTCACAAAACCATACCAAAAAAGGTGCATTTCCGGTCTGACGTAGGCCTAGCCATGGTAGCTACTTCGAGATCTAATGCTCCCCCCTCTCATAGCTCTCAGACTAAAAATAGTCCTGTCTATAACAAATGTTTTGTTTGTAACAAAAATGATCACAAAGTTTACACTTGTGACGTATTTCAAAATAAATCTCCTCGAGAGCGACACGCCATTGTTAAAAAACATAATCGTTGTTTTTCTTGCTTGGGTGAACATAGCTCCAAAGAATGCCGCTCTCAGTTCACTTGTCGCACATGTAAACAGCGACACCACTCTCTCTTACACCTTGGTGATAATAATCAAACCTCTCAGATGTCTTTTCGACCTCAAGGTCAAAGAACTTCCCCGACCACTTCAGGTCCATCTCACACTCAGACTGGTGATGTTAATTCACAAGCCTCCATCTCCGCCACTGTCGCGGATGTAAGCAATTATTCTGCCCAAAATAACTC